GCTGGCTTCATCCGCCGCCTCTCCGACCGCACCTGCACCCGCGGCTGCCGCGGCCGCCGCCGCCGCCACCACGCCAGCGGCAGCGTCCGACGGATCAGGAAGCCTCCAAGGTCTGAAGCCTCCTGGGCAGCACACTCCCGCCGTGACTACCACTACTTCTGCGACTCGTGCTGCACACTTTCTGGCTGGGGGGCGCCAGGAATGTGAATGACAAGTCTCGGCGCCCAGAATCCAGTCCTTTGCTTCCTCCTCCTCCCCCTCCTCCTCCTCCTCCTCCTCCTCCCCCGCAGTTCTCCAACGATCTCCTGATCAGACGGGGGAAAGGGAGGAGGAGGCGGAGGAGGAGGAGGAGGAGAAAGAGAAAGGGGATGAGGAGGAGGACGAGCAGAAGGAGGAGGAGGAAGAGGAGGAGGAGGAGGAGGAAGAGGATGTGGAGGAAGGATGATAATCAGGAGCAGGATGCGAACGCGAAAGGCCTGGTGCAGTAGACAGAGGAAGAGAGAGAGAGAGAGAGACACACACATAATGTATATATAGAGAGAGAGAGAGAAAGAGAGAGAGAGAGAGACAAAAAAAGAGAGAAAGAGAGAGAGAGAGAGAAAGAAAGAGAGAGGAGAGGGATGATGAGGAGAAGAAGGGGGAGGAGTGGGAGGACCGAGGGAATGAGGATGAGAAGGATCAGACGGAAGGGGAGGAGGAGTCGCCCCTCTGTGCCTCCTCCTCCTCCTCCTCCTCCTCCTCCTCCTCCTCCTCCTCCTCCTCCTCCTCCTCCTCCTCCTGTGCTCTGCCCGCCCCTTCTCGCCCTCTGCCCCCTGCCGCTGCCCCGCCCGCCCGGGACCACTCCCGCGCCGTTCTCGCCGGGCCACGCAGGCGCGGGGCGGGCATCCGACCTCCTGCATGCCCCGCTGCCGAAGCCCCGCTGCCGAAGCCCCTGCAAGCCCCGCTGCCTCGGGATCCACGCAGGCGCGCCAGCGATGCGGGACCCCGACCTCCTGCACGCCCCGCTGCCGAAGCCCCGAAGGGCAGCAGGGGAAGGCGGAGGGCGGACGGAGGGGGCGGGGGGCGGGGGCTGGAGGAGGGAGGCGAGGGGGAGCCGTGGAGCGGCCTGAAGCCAGGGGAAAACCTAGAACGCCTCCTCGCCCTCCGAGTCCGAGGCAGCCTCGGGATCCTGGGGGGCCTTCCTGGCATCCTCGCCGAGGGCCCTGACCATGTCCAGGTCGCTGACGGAGGCGGGAGGGGGGCGGAGGGAGAGGAGGGGAGAGCCCTGTGACGGAGCGGAAGAGAGAGGGCGGAGCATCCAGAGACGTAGCCCACCAGCCTCGCGCGTGGCCAGCGCTGCCGATGCAGCTGCTGGAAGAGGATGAGGAAGAAGAGGAGGAGGACTTGAGGCAATAACCACTGAGGAAGAGGAGGAGGCCTCGAGGACTGAGGACTTGCTGGCTCGGAGCGCCTCAACCCCGTTGGCGGGCCCAGCTTCCTGGTGACACCACCCCGGAGGGCACGGTGGCCCGACGGAACAAAGTGGCATCGCAGCAGAATGCCCTGACGTGAGCGGTGCCTGGCCACAAGTCTCAGTCTGGGCATGTCCCTTTACAGGGGGAGTTGGGGCGAAACATTAGGAAGACTAACAACATACTCCTTAGAAAGACTAGCAAAATACTCCAAACAATCTCAAACATAGTTAAGAAATCGACCCCAGACTAGAGTTGATCATGTTTCAAGATTCCTCCTTTGAGCAGGGACCGACCGTCCCGGCATTCCTGTAGTCCTACCACGAAATGTTCTTAGACCCCGAGCATGTTCTAATAACAGCAAAGTTATTAGACCATAACCCCGACGTGTCAAAACAAGACAGTCCCTGCCAGAAATGCTCTGAGAACATTTCGCGGAAACCACAAAAAGGTTCTGCTGACAGTCAGACTCGATTGGACAGGACACGCGAGAGGACACGAGACCCCTTCGATGCCCACATTGCCACAGGAATGTAGGAAGCATGGGTCGCGAGACACAGGACACAAGGGTACCCTGGATTTGGCAGGGTCGACCTACTAATCTGGGCCGGCTGTAGACGATTCTTTGGTGGGCCCATAGGCGAGCCGGGGCGCTTCGCCACTGCTGGACGGGCTCCACCCCCCGCACTCGGTGGCACGCCTTGTCCAGCCAGCGCGGGCGGGCGGTGCCCGGCCGCGCCAGCCCGTGCGGAAAGGGCGGGGCGCGGGCTCGAGGATGAGGAGAAGGAGGAGGAGGAGGAAAAGGAGGAGGAATCAGGAAACGGGAGGGGGAGGAGGGGGGGGAGGAGGGGGAGGAGGAGGGGGAGGAGGAGGAGAGGAGGAGGAGGAGGAGGAGGAGGAGGAGGAGGAGGAGGAGGAGGAGGAGCAGCAGGAGGAGGAGCAGGAGGACCACGCCGACGTGGATGAGCAGGAAGAAGGGGTTCAAGAGCCATGTGCTCAAGCGTGGCAGAGGCCACAAGTTGAACAATATCGCCTCCATCCTTGCGCCAGTGAGGCTGCACCAGCAAGGGCTATGCTCCCTCGGGCACCGGTGCTGCAACCTGCCTACGTCGGTGATGGCCAACTTTACTTGCTATGGTATAGTGCAGGTGTAGGTCCTGAGCAGCAGCCAGCAGGTGCGATCCGACAGAAGGGATGCAATTTCTGCAGCAGCTGTGGTCATTGCGCTCTCGCTTCTGGCAGTCACTCGCAAGTCGGGCGCCTCAAAGAAATTCTGCGATGGACGACTGAGACTCCTGAGGCGCTACAGGCTTCAGAGTGCAGTGAGCTGCTCGACCCTATGAGAGCGAGCTGCTGGAGCTCCACCAAGCACGACTGTGAGGGCAGTGGAGAGGAAACCATTGGACAATGTATCCAGGGTCTGGGAGCTGGTGGAACTCGAACTCCAGTTGAGGCTTGACCATGGATATCACCGCCGCCCTCATCAGATGGGGAGCCCTCCAGGGTCTGAAGCCTCGTGAGTATACTCCTCGACGGAGACCCCTTCCTTCCTTGCCGCGCCTACCCGCTCAGCACAGGCCAGGCAACTTCTGGTCCTCGGCAACTTGATCCTGGAGGTGCACCGCTCCCGGGGAGCACAGCTTACGTCTGACGCCCCAGTGGCGGCAGCTCCCGAGCAGCTTGCCTGCGGTCCAGCAGAAGGGGGATGGGCGCGGCGGCGGCGCGGGCTCCTCGCGTTCAATGTGTTCGTGAGCTGCTGCTGCATGTGTCAGGTAACGGATGTTTGGGCGCGAATGAATGAGGGGGCAACAAATGACGGGGGCCACGAGGGCTGCAGAAAAGGGGTCCTTTTAGGGCCCCAGAGGGCGGCTTCAGGGCCGGAAAAGGAAATCTATTTTCCCACCATTTATCGCCCCCACTAACTCGCGCCCAACATGTGCTTTATGTACACGTTCCGGGAGATACGCACGAGGAGGAGGAGGAGGAGGAGGAGGAGGAGGAGGAGGAGGAGGAGGAGGAGGAGGAGGAGGGGAGGAGGAGGAGGAGGGGGAGGAGGGAGGAGGAGGAGGGGAGGAGGAGGAGGAGGAGGAGGAGGAGGAGGAGGGACTCACAAGAGAGCCCGAGCTGCGGTCATGGGGCACATCCTGCCAGACGAGGCCGCGGCCCCACGCGGCACCAGCACCACCCGCGCGTCGTGACATCCTCGGGTTTCCAAGGAGTGCTGATGTTGGAGGGGGAGGAGGAGGAGGAGGAGGAGGAGGAGGAGGAGGAGGAGGAGGAGGAGGAGGAGGCGCACCTCGGGGACGACTCGCCGCCGGGAGGTGCCGCCCGCAGCGCAGGATGCGTGTCGTCCGCGGCCAGCCTCGTTGTCTTCGGTCGCTGCTCGCTGCTGCTGCTGGAGAGCTCTTCGGAGGCCCTCCTCGGATTCATCCTCCGCGATAGGTAAGAAGTAACAGGCGAGTGGAAAAGGATGAAGGACGAGGCGGTTGTAAGGTTGCATGCGTGTTTAGGGCGCTCTGGAGACTCGCAGAGGCCCTCGAGGCTACTCCCCTTCCTGCTCACGTCTCCCTTCCTCTTGAGATCACGGTTGGGGCCGCGTCGCAGCCATCCGTTGCACACGTTATCGTCCGCGCGCTCATCAACTATCTCCTCTTCCTCCTCGTCCTCCTCGTCCTCCTCCTGCTCCTCCCCTTTCTTGCCCCATTCCCCCCTCTTATCGCTCCTCAATATCTACCCTCCCTCTTCCCGATCTTCCTCCTCCTGCTCCTCCTCCTCCTTCTATCGCTCCTCAATATCTACCCTCCCTCTTCCCGATCTTCCTCCTCCTGCTCCTCCTCCTCCTCCTCATCCTCTCAAACATCGGCTCGAAATTCGTCCGCAGCATCAGCATTTTGCTCGACAAGCGCAGCTTCCGAGTTGCATCCAGCGCCGCAACGGGGCGCTCGAGTGGCACCGCGTCGTCCACGCGCTTTCTTCCTCGTGTGTTGCAGATCCTGGTGGCGAATCTGGACACAATGTAGAGTGGACTCAAATATTACCAGTGTTCTTGTCATCGTGGAGTTTGTTGGGACAGTGCGGCGTACAGCTACGTGCACTTCTCTGTAATCGTCAGGTTTCAAATCGTGTTCTGCGATGTTGCACGTATGAACTTCCTTTCTTCACATCTTTCAATAACAAGAGTGCTAGACAACACAGAGTTCTGCCGTGTCGCACTCTATCAGTGTTCGAGCTATGGCACTGTAAGCTGTCAGTGGTGTTTCTCGACGGTCTTCGTGTTGTGCACTGTATTGTT